GTAAACTAGTTCAACCATTATGGAAGACAGTGTGGCAATTTCTCAAGGATCTAGAAATTGACCCAGCAATCCCACTACTGGGTATATACCCAAAGGACTATAAATCATTCTATTATAAAGACACATGCACACATATGTTCATCATGGCACTGTTTACAATAACAAAGACCTGGAACCAACCCAAATGGTTGACTATCAATGATAGACTGGACAAAGAAAATGTGGCACATATACACCATGGAATGCTACGCAGCCATAAAAAATGATGAGTTAATGTCCTTTGTAGGAACATGGATGAATCTGGAAACCATCATTCTCAGCAAACTGACACAAGAACAGAAAATCAAACACCACATGCAAACTGACACAAGAACAGAAAATCAAACACATGTTCTCACTCATAGGCAGGTGTTGAACAATGAGAACACATGGACACAGGGAGGGGAGCATCACACACTGGGGTCTGCTGTGGGGGGCTAGGGGTGGGATAGTAGGGATTGGGGAGGGTAGGGAGAGGTAATGTGGGGAGAAATGTCATGCATAGGGGATGAAGGGATGGAGGCAGCAAACCACCTTGCCATGTATGTAGCTATGTAACAATCCTGAATGATCTACACATGTACTCCAGAACCTAAAGTACAATTTAAAAAATTAATAAGTAAATAAAAAACCCAAACCTAGCTTGATCCTTGTCTATATTGACTGAAGCCCCCACACTCAATAAGGATATAGAAAACTGAAACAAAATTGTCTACCTGACCTAATTGACAATTATGGAACAGAAATAGCAGAATAAGCATGCTTTTCAAGTATATATAAAACATACAAGATAAAACATATTCTGGATCATAAAAGTAAATAAATTTTAAAAGCTAAAATCATACATATTTTATTCTTGACCATAAGAGAATTAAACCAGAAATCAAAGAAAGAAAGATACTGGTAAACAATGCATTTATAAATAACCTATGGGTTATTAGAACACATAAAATCACAAGAGAATTTTTTAAAATTTTGAATTGGGTGAAAATGTCAATAGAATATAGCCTAATTTATAGACACAGAGAAAGCAGTACACAGAAATTTAAAGCATGCTATTAGAAGAGAATAAAGGTCTCAAATCAAAAATCTAAATTTCACCTAAATGGCCAAAAAATGCAAATTAAATCCAAAGTAAGCAGAAAAAAATGATAAATGGAAAAATCAGAGATATTGAAAACAAAAATAATGAAAACAAGAGCTACTTCTTCAAAAATATTAATATAATTGATAAATCTCTAGCCAGATTAATTAGGGGGAAAAGATAGAGCACATATTACAATATAGAGAATGAAAGAGGGGCTATCACTACAAATCCTACAGACACTAAAAGAAATATAAGGGAATAAACAATTTTATATGAGTAAATTCATTAAAGTAGATTAAGTATGGCAACTTCTTGAAACATAAAAACTACAAGAGCTTACAGAAAAAGAAATAGATAATCTAAATGGCCTGCATATATTTTTAATTAAACTTTTTAATTAAAATTTTAATTAATTTTTTTAATTAAAAATGTGTCTATAAAGAAAACTCTAGGCCCCAGTGACTTTGCTGGGACTCTACCAGCTATGTAAGGAGAAAATAATATTAATTCTATATAAATTCGTCCAGAAAATAGGGAATACTTCCCACCTAATTTTGTAAGATCAGCATTACCTGATATCAAAAGCAGACAAAGTATTACAAGAAAAATGAAAACTACAAATAAATTTCTTTTTCTTTTTTTTTTTTTTGAGACAGGGTCTGGCTCTATCACCTAGGCTGGAGTGCAGTGGTGTGATCTCTGCTTACTGCAACCTCCGCCTCCCAGGTTCAAGCCATCCTCCCACCTCAACCTCCCGAATAGCTGGGACTACAAGTGTGCACCACCACACTAGCCAATTTTTGTATTTTTTGTAGAGATAGGGTTTTGCCATGTTTCCCAGGCTAGTCTCGAACTCGAGCTCAAGCAATCTGCCCACCTTGGCCTCCCAAAGTGCCGGGATTACAGGCATGAGCCATTATGCCTGGCCACAAACCAATATCTTTCATAAATACGGTCAGAAAATCTTCAGTAAAATATTAGCAAATTGAATCAACAAATATACAAAAAGGATAATGCATCATAACCAAGTAGAATTTATCTCTGGAATACAAAATTGGTGCAACATTCAAAGCCGATCAGTATTACTCATTGTATCAACATGAGCAGGAAAAATCATAAGAGCATATCTACAGATATAAGAAAAGTATTTAACAAAGTTCAACATCCATTCATGATAAAGCTCTCAGAAAACTAAGGATAGAATAGAGCTTCCTCAACCTGAAAAAAAAAAAAGCATCTGCAAAACATTGCACTGGAGGCATTATGAAGTACAATAAGTCAAGAAAAATAAAAGGCATACAGATTGGAAAGGAAGAAGTAAAACTGTCTTTAATTGCATATGATTCATATACCTGGAAAATCTTAAGTAATCTACAGAAAAGATACTATAACCAATACATAAGTTTAGCAAGCTCTCAGAATACATGGTAAATAGATCAATATCAATTGCATTTCTGTATGTTAATAATAAGCAATCCAAATTAATTCATCCTTTATAATAGAATCAAAAACAATGAAATACGAGGAAATCTTAACAAAGAGTGTGCAAGATTTGTGTGCTGAAACTACAAAACACTGACAAGAGAAAATAAAAACAATATAAATAAATAAAAAGAAAAGCTATGACCATGGGCCAGAAAATTTAATATTGTCAAAATGTCAATTCTCCCCCAAATTGATCTACAGATTCAACATAACCCCAGTCCAATTTTCAACAATTTTTTATGACTGAATTCTAAAATTTATATAGCAAAGCAAAGGACCTAGAATAGCCAAAATAATTTGGGGAAAAAAAAAGGAACATAATGTTACAAAAAGCAAGATAGTGTGGTATTGCATGATAAACTAATAAATCAATGGAACAAATAGCCAGAAATTGTGTGTGGGGTGGGTGTGTGTGTGTGTGTGTGTGTGTGTGATTGATTTTTGACAAGGTGCCAAGGAAATTAGCAGAGAAAGGATAGGTTTTTCAACAAATCAATACTGGAAATACTGGATATCCATATGGAAAAAAAAAAAAAAAAAGGCTTACCTTGAACCATATACAATGATTAACTCAAAACGGATCACAGACCTAAATCTAGAAGCTAAAACTATAGAACATCTAGAACAAACACATCTAGTAGAAACTTTTTTAAGACCTTGAGTTAGGCAAAGATTTTTAGATAGGGCACAAAAAGCACAAACCATAAAACAACTGATAAAAATTTATGTCATCAAAATTAAGCATTTTTCTCTTTCAAAGACCCAGTTAAGAACATGAAAAGATAATCCACAGACTGAGCCAGGCGCAGTGGCTCATGTCTGTAATTCCAGTACCTTGGGAGGCCGAGGCGGGCAGATCACCTGAGGTCAGGAGTTTGAGACCAGCCTGGCCAATGTGGTGAAACCCCAGCTCTACTGAAATTACAAAAAATTAACTGGGCACGGTGGTGGACGCCTGTAATCCTAGCTACTCAGGAGGCTGAGATGGGAGGATTACTTGAACCTGGGAGGGAGAGGTTGCAGTGAGCAGAGATCGCACCACTGCACTCGGCCTCGGTGACAGAAGGAGACTGCGTCTTAAAAAAAAAGATAATCCACAGACTGGGAGAAAATATTTACAAGACACATATCTGATAAAGGCTTATATAGAAAGAATCCTTACAACTCAACAATAAGACAAACAACACAATTTTTTTCTAATGGGCAGAAGATTTGAACAGACTACTTCACCAAAGAAGACATAAGTACATGAGAAAACATCATTAGTCATTAGGGAAATGCAATAAAACCTGCAATAAGATACTATTGTACTTCTCCAGAAATATAATTAATTAATAAAAATAAATAAAAGACTGGCAACATCAAGTGCCATCAAGGACGCAAAAACAACTGGAATTCTCAGAATTGTTTGTAAGAATGGAAAATGATACAGCCACTTCAGAAAAGTGTAGTTTCTCATAGAATTTGACATTACACTTACCAAACAACTCAGCAGTTCCAACCCTAGGTATTTACCCAAGAAAAAAAGAAAACAAATATCCAAGCAAAATCCTATACCAGAATGTATACATCAGCTTTACTTATAATGTCTAAAACTAGAAAGCAACCCAAATGCCCTTCACACAATGATGGATAAACAAACCGTAGTACATTCAAACACTGAAATATTACTCAGCAATAAAAAGGAACAGAACTACTGAAATACCAATGAAATGGATGAATCTTAAAAGCAATGTTAAATGTCAGAAAGCAGGCACAAAATGTACATACTGTATGATTTCATTTATATTACAGTCACAAAAAAGCAAAGATCTCTATCAATCTCGATCAATCATCCTCAGTGCCTAGCATGTTATAAAATATCCAACAAATGCTAGGTGGTGGACGGATAAACGAGGAATCATTGCAGGGAGGGTAAAGTGCAAGAAAGTGATACATTGACAAGAAAGCAGAAAGGTACCTGGGGGCCCAAGTTCACCCACAGGACGGAAAAAGTGAGGGAAGGCGTGGTCCAAGCCACCTTCAGTGAGTCCAGCAGCTTAAAAAATTAGACCCTTGTAAATTACTACAAGAACAGGCAAATGAGTCAGCAAACTAAGCGTTTCTCTGGTCTGAAAAATGGTGTGATGTGCCCCACCCTTCTTTAAAAATCTGTTAACCACGCCTGGGGCTGAGGCAGCAGAGCTTGCACTGGACAGGGAGGTGGGGTTTTTTTGTTTGCTTTGTTTTTTTGTTTGTTTGTTTTTTGTTTTTGTCTGTCTGTTTTTTGAGCACCAGAGCGGAGCTGGAAGGTCATTGGCGAGCTCTGGCTTGGGTGAGGAGGGTGAAGAAGAAGAGACGTCGCCGCAGCCCCGCCCGTCTCCATCCCTACCCACTCGGCCTCACTTACCCAGGCCTGCCGTTCCAGCTGAGAGTACAAATTGGAGCCCTTGAGCTTTTGGACTATCTGGGCAATAATGAGCGAGAGGTCCGACTCCTCCTGCAACATTTCCCCTGCCCTAGCCCGCCAAACCGCGGGGATAGGCCGCAGGCGCGGAGCGAACGGGCTACCGGGTCCAATTCAGGGCCAGTGACACTTCTCCGGGACCTTATCACACTGGGACTCCTCCAGCGGGCGTTACCAGGCAACTGCCGAGCCGTGTGTCCGTCCCTCTCGGGTCCCCTCAGCGCCTGACGGCCCCAGCATCTGCGTTCCGCCAGCAGAAAAAGACCGGGGCAGGGAGGAAGCTTTTCATACCATTGTTCCTGCCTTGTCTGTGGTTGAAGAACAGAAGCTGATTCCTTCAGAGCCACAGCGCCTCTGATGCACAAGGAGGACACGGAGAATTGCGCGTTTTACTATACAAAGGATCATTCTCTTCCCCCTCTCAATTTCTGCAGAAACGGGACTGTGGCACGCAATGATACTGCGAATTACACCCAAGAATTGTTAGGCTCTAACACTAGCTGCGTGAAAGTGCGACAGTTTCCGCCTCTGTAAAATAACACCCAATTCGCAGGGTGTTGTGATGATTATCTTAAGTAAAAATCGTGAAGGTGCCTAGCATTGTACCATAGCACACCATTTTACTTCATTTTCTCTCGTTTCTCTAGAGTCTTATACCAAGAATAAGTAGACAATTTCGTCTCATCTAACAACTACAAATTAACCAAGAGACATTATTGATAGGTTTTCTGCAAACCATGAGCACTTCAAGGATGAATAAGACATTGTCCCAGTCTTCAAGGAATTTACCGTCTAGATTCATCCTCTTCCACGTATTCATTCGTTCAAGCATTTATTAATAATTCATTCAGCTTTCAACTTATTGAACATTTACATAAAAGGAACCGTGTCGGCACAAAGGTTTAATAAAATATGGTTCTTGCCTTCAAGGAAATACAAAAAAGATTTTTAGCAGAAATAAAAGCAACTGATTTAAATTATTGAAAGACATCCCAAAAGGCTAACAGCACCTCCACTCCCCCACAAAAAAGGCCTAGTGAATAATACACACATTAGAATAACCTCAGAAAAGTAATCGAAATTAAGTTCAAATGTATATATGCATATTTTGTTTGTTTGTTTGAGACAGTCTCACTCTGTTGCCCAGGCTGGAGTGTAGTGGCCTGATCTCGGCTCACTGCAACCTCTGCCTCCCGGGCTCAAGCGATTATCCTGCTTCAGCCTTCTGAGTAGCTGGGACTACAGGCCCACCTACCACCAGGCCCGGCTGATTATTCTTGTATTTTTAGTAGAGACGGGGTTTTGCCAAGTTGGCCAGGCTGGTCTCAAACCACTACTGACCTCAAGTGATCCACCCACCTCAGCCCCCTAAAGTGCTGGGATTACAGGTGTAGGCCACAGCACCCAATCTGTACATGCATATTTTAAGCAAGGCAAAAGTAGGATTTCAAGAAAATAGACCAAGATTGCTGCAAAGGATACTCTAACTAGAAACAAAAGAGATCTTGTTCAATCAAATGCAGGTTCTAATTCAACAGGTCTCTGGGGAGAACTGGTAAACTGCACTTCTGACAAGTCCCAAGATTGTGATGCCGATGGTCCAAAGGCTACATTCTGAATAGCAAAAGACTAAAGCAGGAAATAATACGAATTCAAAGAGCCCGGCCCCAGCCTCTATGCACAACACTCTGACATCTATAACACCACCATCCAGAATACTGGGATGGTAAGCACAAATTCTAAATAACTCCCTTGGTAAACTTTGTTTATCAAACCAAGTTTACAAAGAGGCAGGCAGGAAAGAAACAAAGCACTTAAAGGCAATTAATGACAGACTCTATAAAATGCAGTTTCTCTACAAAACATTCTCTCACAACTCAGAATTTCTCAAAGCTGCAAATAAGTAGATATTGTCAACTCTTCCATCTCAACACTCCACGCATCTGTGACTCCCACCACAAACCTTACTTTGAACAAAGGGAGAGAGGCAGTTAGACAGACAGAGAAGAGAGAGCGCTACCATAACAGTTCCTTTAAGATGGAAAGAGATGGAGTAATGAGTTGCTAAAAAGATAAAGATCTTCAGCTGAAAACAGTAATAGAGCATTGAAGGCAGAGCTAAAGCCGTAGAGCAGAAGAAGAGCATAGTGCTTGGAGTCAGAAAACATTCTGGCTTCCTTCCTAGATCTGAGAAATGTATGAGTCTTTTTCCCCATCAGAGTTTCATTTTCTTCTCTCTATCAAGAATGTAAAATATCCAACTAAGGGAATAGTATGAGGAACAAATATACCAAGTATTAGAATATTCATAAATATTAATAAATTAAATATTGAAATAGTGATAATAAATAAAAATGCCCAGTACTATTGACAAGGGAATGGAAAGTAACTAAATAAACATAGCAACATATGGGAAATTGCCCAGAACAATTCCTTGCACAGATGGAGACTTAAAATAATTTTGTTAAAGAAGAGAACAATTATAAGCTTAAAGCCACAATTACGAAGTTTGGATTTGATTCTGAAAGCATGTCCAAGCAAAAAGAAAAAAAAATCCCTTAATCCTAATATTTTTACATTGTTTTTTACATACATAGAAGCAGATGTGTTGGAGTATAATTTAATTATACAATGCCCTCTGCTCTCTATTTCCAATTCAATTTAGCAAAACTTTTCCGACCACCTGCTCTAGGCAAGAAATGGCAAGGAATACAAAGATGAGTAGGAAATGGTCCTTTCTCTCAAGGAATTTCAGTCCCAAAGGAATGATGTGGCTGCTATATGAAGAGCCATAATGGTAAATAGACTACTTCAGTCTCCCACCTGTGTGTCTGGAAATTTTATTACTTCAAAGTCATTGTCTCTCAAGAGCTGAAGGTACAGATTACCATCTCCATCCCCCAAGGTGGAAGTTGGCCTTGAAAATTTGATGGCACATATACACCATGGAATACTATGCAGTTATAAAAAGAAATGAGTTCACGTCCTTTGCAGAGACATGGATAAAGCTGGAAACCATCATTCTCAGCGAACTAACACAGGAACAGAAAACCAAACACTGCATGTTCTCACTCATAAGTGGGAGTTCAACAATGAGAACACATGGACACAGGGAGGGGAACATCACACACCAGGGTCTGTCGGGGTATGTGGGGGCAAGGAGAGAGATAGCATTAAGACAAATACTTAATGCACATGGGGCTTAAAACCTAGGTGACGGGTTGATGGGTGCAGTAAACCACCATGGCACATAACAAACCTGCATGTTCTGCACATGTATCCCAGAACTTAAAGTATAATAAATAAATTTTTTTAAAAGAAGCATTTTAAAAAAATGCTTACTGTACCCAAGGTGGGTAGAGCATGGGAAAACCCTCCATTTCTGACATTTCAGAGTGACTAACAGATGGATAGCAAGAGGGGCTGCAATTTTATCTGAGTGGTTAAAACTATGCAAACAGAGACAAAAGTAAAAGAGATGCAGAGGGAAGTCTCCTCAAAATTCTCTGAAATTTAGAACAGAGATGCTTCTGGGCCAACATGTGTAGGGCTCTGGGCCCAACCCTGCCTTTCTCAGACCTGCTTGGTTTGGTCTATTCTACATATAATGCTGTGTCAGATTTCACTGGGGAGGGGCAGAGGATGCATTTGAAAACCACTGACTAGTGGCATCACATGGCAAGGTTGTGAAACGCATCAAAAACAACCTGCCAGCCTAACTCAACATTGAGGCACCCTTCAAGGGTATGCTGAAACATATCCTTACTTTATTCCCATGAGGGTGGCTTGTATAAACTGTACCATCTACAGTGAAAAATACTTTCCACTGTTCTTTTAGAAAGAGACTGCTTTTAGCATACGACGTCTGCAGAATGAATTCAACTGTACATTGTCAGGAATTCACTTAGAATAAATAAAAATCATGATGTGTGTTTTGTGTATCACACATGTCACAGGCCTCACTGTCTTTGGGAACAAATGAGCTCTTATTGATGTCAATTACCTGTCACTGCCCCATGTGCTGGCACAGGATGCCAACCCCTCTTCAGAGCCTCTTCACATTATTTCCAGGAATCCTCGAGAAGTAATACATGTGTGCTTACAAAGTATTTGGCTCACGATCTTCTGCTCTGCCTGCCTTGGTGATGTCTGACGACCTCAAGTCACTGTCCAGGGTGCTTTTCTTGGCACTACCAAAGCACCAAAGGTGCTTAAACCCCAAGATTCACAAAGACCTTCATGGGGGAAAAAAATGCCCCTTCTGCTTCTGCTTGCCACCTCTCTTTACAATGGCAGTCATACCTCGTTTCTGAGTCCAGGCTGTGTATCAGCCTGTGCTATCCTCCTCCACTTCCCCATTTTGCATGCCTGTGGTCCCAGACAATTTTATGTGAATGGGGAAGACTGGGCTACTGGCTTCATGAGTAATCTCAGGGACTGTGCTGACTCTATGCAAAACATAACACTTACAGGAGAAAACCTGTAGTTTTAACAACAAGATCTTTGTTATTACCAACAAGTCTGGAAGAGAGTCCCAAGGTTGGTTCTGTGTCTCAAAAATATCAAGTTTCTAAGCTCCTTCCATCTTTCCCATTCCACCACCCTTAGTGTATTGCCTTTCCCTCCACGGCTTACTGCCACAGTCTCGAGATGGCTACTGCAGTTCCAAATATCTTGTCCTACCACCGTCTTGAAAGGCAGGAAAGAAGATGAAGCTGGAAACCATCATTCTCAGCAAACTAACACAGGAACAGAAAACCAAACACTGCATGTTCTCACTCATAAGTGGGAGTTGAACAATGAGAACACATGGACACAGAGAGGGGAACAACACACACCGGGGCCTATTGGGGGGTGGGAGGAAAGGGGAAGGATAGCATTAGGATGAATACTTAATGCACGCAGGGCTTAAAACCTAGATAATGAGTTGATAGGTGCAGCAAACCACCATGGCACGTGCATACCTATGGAACAAACCTGCACATTCTGCACAGGTATCCTGGAACTTAAAGTAAACTGAAAAAAGAAGAAAGAAAGAAAGGCAGGAAAGAAGAGGGAAAAATTTTTAAAGTTCTCAGTGACTGTGTATACATTTCTGTTTAAGAATATTTTTCCAAGAAGCTCACAAGAAGACTTTCCCATATATCTTACTGCCTGAAGCTTTGTCACATGATCACCCCTAGCTGCAAGAGAGTCTGGCAAGAGTTGATCTGGTGTTTTATCCACAATCCTAGGAGAGAGATGAAGGAGTAGAAGAATATCTGGTTGCTTTTGCCATGTTGTCCAAAATGACGTCCACGTGAGAGTGGTGCTGGGATATGAACACTTGTGAATGATATTTGGGCAAATAAACTACTTAAGGGTTAGACAATATCCAGATTACTTGCCATTCACACAGAGACATTTGTGTGTACTTTAGACCAAGTATCTAAATTATAGTACTTACCTAGGTGGCATTTGTTTAGTATCATGGTGACATTTTAAAAACTAAAAACAAATAAGG